ACTTAAGTTTTGAGTTTCGTCATGTATTTATGTTCACAGATATTTATGAAGCTATGTACCCATTACGAGTGTAAAAGAAAAGAAAAAAAAAATTATGGGCCATTGAGCCAAATGTATTCAATATGAAAGTCATGATCTAATTATGTTTTGAGAAATCATGCATGAGTTATGATGAGAGGTTGATGTAACGTAGGCTTGCTCGACTGGGTTCACTCGGTTGAGCGCCGGTCACACTCCTCGAGTTTGGGGCATGACATCAAGTGTCATGTCCTCAGAAATCTAGAGCCTCACCATATCCTTCCTGATCACATCTCCCCAATATTTCTTAGGCCACCCTCTACCTCTTCTCGTGCCCTCCACAACCAGCCGCTCACACCTCCGTACCAGAGCATCTGGGCTTCTCCTCTGAATATGTCCGAACCATCTAAGCCTCGCTTCCCGCATCTTGTCATCAATGGGAGCCACATGCACCTTCTCCCAAATACCATCATTCCTAATCTTATATATCCTAGTGTACCCGCAAATCCACCTCAACATCCTCATCTCTGCTACTTTCATCTTCTGGATATGTGAGTTCTTAACGGGCCAACACTTAGCCCCATACATCATGGCCGGTCTAACCACCGCTTTATAGAACTTACCTTTGGGTATCGGTGGCACTCTCTTCTCACACAGAACTCCAGATGCTAACCTCCACTTCATCCATCCTACCCCAATACGGTATGTGACATCTTCGTCGATCTTGTCTGGCCCGGTCGTTCTGCCCCTATGCATCTTACGCATAGCTCCCACGACCTCTTCAACCTCGATACGCCCATAGTACCCAAAGTCACGGTGACTCTCGGAATGCTCCAATTCGCCTAGCACAATATCCCGATCCCCTTCATCATTTAGAAGTTTTTGAAAGTACGTCTGCCATCTCCTCTTAATCTGGGCATCTTCCATCAATACTCTACCATCTTCATCCTTGATGCATCTCACTTGGTCCAAATCCCGAGCCTTCCTCTCTCTCAACTTGGCCAGCCGGAATAACTTCTTCTCCCTGTCTTTTTTCCCTAGTTCCTCGTACATACGACCAAAAGCCGCAGTCTTAGCCTCCGTGACCGCCAGCTTAGCCTCCTTCCTAGCTACCTTATACCTGTCCATGAACGCTCACCTCTCCTACTCACCTATGCTCCCCACTAACTTCAGGTACGCCACCTTCTTCACTTCCACTTTACCTTGGACCACTTCATTCCACTACCAGTCTCCTATATGCCCACCAGAGACGCCCGTCGATACCCATAACACCTCTCTTGCAGACTCCCTAATACAGTCTGTTGTCGCTGACCAAATACTACTCGCGTCACCACTGCTCCTCCACGCTCCCATAGCCGACAATCGCCCCTCCAACTCTTGGGCTTTATCCTTAGTTAAGGCTTGCCACCTAATTCTCGATCTTCCTCGAGCGGACTTTTTCGTCCTCTTTAACATAATACCAACGTCCATCACCAAGAGCCTATGCTGCGTCGCAATTATCTCACCCAGAATCACCTTACAATCTTTGCACAGCCCTCTGTTACACCTCCTGAGGAGGAGATAGTCAATCTGAGTCTTCGCCACCACATTTTGAAAAGTAACCAAATGCCCCTCCCTCTTCGAAAATTTAGAGTTCGCAATCACCAACCCAAAAGCCTTGGCGAAGTCCAACAACAATGTACCTCCTCCGTTCCACTCCCCAAAACTGAAGCCTCCATGTACCTCTCCATAACCACCTATGGTCGACCCAATATGCCCAATGAAATCCCAACCTATGAATAGCTTCTCAGCAGGCGGAACCTGGCACACAATCTCATCTAACCCCTCCTAGAAGCGTCATTTAACCTCTTCATCTATGCCCTCATGCGGCGCATGGGCGCTAACGGCGTTTAGGGTGCACTCTCCAACCACGAACTTATTAACCATCAATCTAGCATTCACTCGTCTAACCTCAACCACAGACTCTCTAAGTTTCCTATCTACCAAGATGCCAACTCCATTCTTACCTTTCTGGACTCATGAGTACCAAAGTTTATACCCGTCTGCGTCATTTACCCTCGACCCTACCCGCCTTGTCTCCTCGACACACGCTATATTGACCCTCCTCTTCTGGAGGATCTTCGCCAACTCTATAGACTTACCCGT